TGTTTGTTATTTTAATTAGTATTTAAGTGAATGCTCAGAAATTGATTTAAATAGCTACTGAGTTATCAGTATCTAAATGTTGGTAAATTTTATCTTGTAAAACCGTGGTATGTTATCGCCACGTTACACTAAAAGTGAGAGAAAGGTCCCCTGTGCCATGTTTTCCTGACGAAGTAAAATATTCCGTGATGGTTAGGAAATACTCGAGTGATTGTATTAAGTTGGGTTCCTTCGTTACAGGTCCCCTGGGCCCGCTGCCGAACGTGACCAGCGCTGACGTCGCTCTTAAGGAAGGTGAGTCGCTATTACCTATTTATTATTTTATTTCTTGATCGGGAAAACTTCTATTATTCTTTGCTATTTTTTAAAACAATATTCAAATTATGACTGATCGTAAAATACATAACAATCAATTTGTATTTATAAATTAAGTACAATGACGTAAGTCATTGTAAGGTCGGTACTTAATTATTTTTTTAGATTTTTTAACAATTAATTAATTGAGTAGAATCAAATGGTTAATATTCACCTCACTTTGTACCTTTGCGTTATAAAAGCACATAATGATAAAACTCTATTACCTTTTCAGGAAGCTGTGCTCTAGGCGATGTGGTGTACATGCCGGGCGACGAGTTCCCAGGTTCGGATCCGTGCGAGAGCTGCAAGTGCGCAGGCGGCGACGTGCAATGTGCGCGCCAGCGCTGCGAGCCTCGGCCCGGCTGCAAGGCACTGCACCGCCCCGACCACTGCTGCCCTACCTATCAGTGCGGTTAGTATGCCTACATCAACATCATAATATAGAACAAAGATCTCTTCCTTAACTAAGAGGTTGGCCATAATCCATAATCTTGACAAGCCCACAGAATCAGAGCATAAATTTGTTTTGTTGCGAGTCTATCTAATGAAGGATGTGTTGTGTTTTAGAATGCGAACAAGAAGGGCGAGTGTACGGTAACGGTGAGAAACTGGTGGACCCTGCAGACCCGTGCCGCGTGTGCTACTGCCAGGGAGGGGAGGTCGTGTGCCGGCGCATCGCGTGCTTCGTGCGCGACGACTGCACGCCGCGCCTCGTGCCCGGCCGCTGCTGTCCTGAGTACGACAACTGCCCACTGAGAGGTCAGGTCATAAATGCAAACAAGTGTTCTAGTAAATTAATCTTCAGTTTTTTATATAAATAATGGTATTTAGAAATAAAGTTACATAATAACAAATACATAATTAACAACTACTCGTTGTCTGCCTCGTTGGCCGAGTGGTCGAGTGGTCAA